GCCAGAAACCCTGAGGGTCCTCCCCTCCTGGTTTGATTTTTTTTTTTAATTAAAGGAGCCATCCTTTGGCTCACTTCTTAAACAACCCTAATCACTGAATGGGTCAAGTTGAGAACTGGGAAAGACCTTAGCTTGAAAAGGCCAAGGTCTCCCACTGCATCCTGGGCAATCTCCAGTCATCCCGATCTATATCAGGCCACTGGACCCAGATGGCTCTGGAGGAGAAAGTGAGGCTGGTGACTTTGCCCAGCCCTCCTTCACTGTAATCCAACTCATTTGCAAGTCAAGTCTTCATCCTCCTGATGTCCTGCTCTTCTTCAAGAAGGAAGGATAAACCACAAACTCTAAGATTGTAAACTCCCCGAGGACAGAGTCTGTGTGTTTTATTCACCGTTGTGTCCTGAAAATGAGAACTTGAAAACAAATTACAATCTCTTGACAACACTGTAGTAAATATTGGTGTAACCTGTGGGCCAGCCACTGATCTCTCCCCAAACGGGCCACCTTCAGTCTCAGGGGCATTTCTCTAATAATAATATTGATGGTTCATGGAAATCGCTCAATGATTTCCCTGGGAATAGTAGAATCTGGTTCATGTTTTTCAAAGGGCCTTCAGATCCCCTGCAAGCACTGGGGTTAATAAAGACATTCCATTTAGAAAAGGACAAAGGGCTCGTCTGAGCTCTTAGTAAAGCAATTGGAAGAACCCTTACTTGTGAAACTCGCTTTACTCTCCAGAGGTTCGGTTGATGGTATCCAACACACTCAAGCAGTCTCTCGGTGTGACCCTGGAATGGCAAGTGGACTAGCGGGTGCTAAGGCCATTGTAACATGCGGGTGTCTCTTTTTAACCTCTGGTATGTCCGCATTGCCTCAGCAAATCAGTAGCCCCTCCCTCACTCCCGCCGGCACCACTCAGTGGGAGAGTCAGTCTTAGTTTCCTCACTCAAGGCTAGTCCACACCCAGCCTCACCCCCACATTCTTGGCACGGATCTCCCTCTCCTCCTAGGTACATTATCACACGGCGTCCCGAGTCGCTCCATCATACAACCGCGCCAACTACTGCACGGTCACCCACCTTAAAGCTTCTGAATGGTATTTCCTGCATCTTTACTGTCAGCTGCTCCTTGTACATTCACCCTCATGTTTCTCAGAGAGTTCCAGGCTTGGAGTGAGAAAGCCTTAGGTTCAAATCAGATAGAACGTGGATCCTGGCGTCAGGAGGACCTGAGTTCAAATTAGGCCTCAGGCACTTACTAGCTGTATGACCCTGGGCAAGTCACTTAACCCCAATTGCCTTCAAAAGAAAAAAAAAAGAAAAGACAGTCAGAGTATCATAGATTTAGAGCTGAAAGGTACCATAGGCACTATTGTGTCCAATTCCCTCATTTTACAGATGAGGAAACAGAGGCAAACAGGGTTGAAGGACTTGGCCAGAGTCATCCAACTAGTAAGTGTCTGAGGTCAAATTTGAACTCAGGTCTTCCTGACTCTAGGCCTGGTGTTCTATCCAGTGTACCACCTAGCTGCCTTCAAAAAGCACTACAGGTAAACTATTGGTATTATTTTCATTCCCATAGGTGGATGCCTACTACCTTTGTCGAAATAATTTAAAAACAAAAAAAACAGAGAAATAATTTCTAAGATGTTTCTTTAAGGGACACGACATCTCCTAATGTAGGGATGAGAACACTGTGAAGAATTAGAGGGTGTCTATAAAGGATAAGGACTGGATCTGGGGTTTCACTGAGATAGGTTCCTCCAATACAGGATAGTACTTTCTCTTCAGGGAATCATCTTAGAGCCCAATACCTCTTCTCTCCCATGCTTCCTTTCAGAGCCTCTCAAATGCGGAGCTAGCTCTGGCAATGCATGCATCAACCTCATCCTCTATGTGGACATCCCAAGAAAGCATACTGCCAAGGTTAGTGAACTCATCCACTTATTCAAATTTTCTCCACTTACTGTGGCCAATGGCTCCACGGTTAGACGGTGCAGTGCTGGCTGGTGGAGGACTTCTGTTTTCTTGGTATTGATTGTCAGGTCAAAATTAGCACAAGCAGCAGAGAATTGAGGCATACTTTGTTACATCTCAGCTTCAGAGGCTGCATTGAGTGCACAATCATCTGCAAACAAAAGTCACGCACCAACTCTCTCTCCACTTTGGTCTTGGCTTGTAGCCTTTTTAAGTTAAATAATTTACCATCGGTGTGGTAGCTGACCTTGATGCCATTTTCATTCTTGTTGAAAGTGTCTGACAATATCGCTGAAAACATCATGCTAAAAAGCATGGGAGCAAGCACCCAGCCTGACTTCAATCACTGGGGACTGGGGAAGTGTGAGAGCGTTGCCCTTCATCCAGACCCTGTGTGAGTATGCCATCATGAAACTGGCTTACAATACTGATGAACTTCTCCAGGCAACCAAATTATTCACCACGATTTTCTACAAGCCCTCACAACTGCCTGTATCAATGGCCTTGGTCAGGTCGACCAACCTTGTGTATAGACCTCTGTTCTGCTCTTGGCTTTTCTCCTGGAGTTGTCAGGCAACAAACAAGATGTCAACCATTCCTCAGCCCTCATTTCTGAAGCCAAAATAGCTTCAAGCAGATGACCATCTTCCAGGTGAAGGATTAGCCGATTAAGAAGGACTCTGGCAAGAAAGGTGCCAGCAATGACTAAGAGAGAGGACAAACCCCTCTCCCCCGTGATTGTCACAGGACAATTGATTTCCTTTTCCTTTATAGAAATGGACAATGGAGGCATCCTTGAACTCTTGGGGGATAACCTCCTCTTGCTGTATAACCCAGAAAATTTCAGGCAGTTTTTGTATGAGCAATGGACCCCCTGCCTTATAAATCTCAGCTGGAATAGAATCAGCACCAGGTGCTTTGCCAGGTGAGAGGAGCCTACTGGCATTCAAAACTCTTCTTTAGTTGGAAATTTGGCTAGAGGTCGATGGTACAGAACCATCCAGCATGGTGTGCTCGCATCAAAGAGGGCACTCTACTCCATGAGCAAAGCAGAAAGGAAGTAGTGCAAAGGAAACGTGAGCTTCAAAAATCCAGGGACATCTCCATTCCAAATGTTCTAATCGACTGTTTGCGCCCAACCTGAGGAAGAGCCTTCTGACTCGTATTGAACTGATCAGCCAACCACATTGTACCTTGACTCCAACATTAAGATGTCATTGGTCCTCTTCAAAAGTGAAGGACGAACAACAATCTTAGAGACCTGCTTGTAGCACTAAGAGACTAGACGGCTTACCCAGGGTCAGATAGCCAGTATGTGTCAGAGATAGGACTTGAACTCAGATCTTCCCTATTCTGAGGCCAGCTCTCCGTCTACTACACCAGGGTGTCTATCATGGAACCCTTAATTGAGGTCTTTATTAAAAATACAATTGTGAAAACCAGTGGGTAGAGCAAACTAGTAGTGAGCCTAAAGAGTGGGGCCACAAGCTAATGAAACCCCAAACTACAGAGCTACAGAGAAAGAGGGGAAGATAAGTAGAGAAACCTTTGAAGGATGAATTACAGGAGAGGGGGTAGCAAAGGCATGCAGAAATGGAAACTTCCAGAGAGAACACTAAGGAAATTTTCTACTGCTATTCTCCTTTAACACGTTCAAGCAAAAGAATTCTAGAAATGAAGCCTGTTGATAATCTTCACAGGCCAGGGAAATGGTTTGATAAGTTGGGAGATGTGGGGGTGTGATTCTCTGATTACCCACTTGACCAGAATGATGTTATCCCAGGCACTTACTTTCCATTCCCCAGGCAGATACATGTGTCACTTCTGGATGGTTTTCTCTAGTTCAGTAGGTTACCGAGAGCAAGAATGGATTATTCACACAGGAGTTCTGCCATGACGGCCTTTTACACTGTAGCAACTGATGTCTTTCGAATGACTGAAACCACTTCCTGAGTACAACTAGAAATGAGAAGTTTTTCTGCTTAAGGAGAAAATTACCCTTATCTGGTTTTTAAAAAATAATTAATTAAAATAAATAAATTCCCTATAGAATAATGCTGGAAAATGCTGTCTTAAAAGTCAGGGAAAAAAACTACTCTGTTGAATTGGTCTTCCCTGCCAGCCCTTTCCTCTGGAAGCTGCTTTAGCAAAAACCTTCAAGGTCAGTCAATTAACCTAGCTAACAAACATTTATTCAGCCATAATCATATAGTTGCTTAATAGACGTACTAAATACTGGTGATACAAAAAAGGGTAGAAATAGGATCCCAGATCTCAAAGAGCTTACATTCTAATGGGGAGACAACGTATAAATAATTATATATGTACAAGGTATATAGAGGTGAGGGGTAATCTCAAAAGGAGGGCATTGAGGGAGAGAAGGAATCTGCAGAAGGTGAGATTTGAGGTGAATCTTTAGGAAAGCCAAAAGGCAGAGAGAGGTAAGGAGGGAGAAAGTATAAATCACTATTTGGATTCTTCCCTTCTGCAAAACTAGCCCATGATTTAGTGAAAGCCTTCTCTGACCCTCCTCCTCCTCCTCCAAACCTCCATAGCTTTTTCAGGGGCTCTAGTGTGTCTCTGTGTCATTCCATCTTTTATCCTTCTTATGTGTGTGCCCCATCTCTCCTACCCAACTCTCCACTGATCGTTAAGACTGTTTACCAATGACATCAGTAGGGTGATGTCTTGACTTGCTAGTGGATGGGATTTGAGTGAGGCAGAGCTGTGTTGCATCATCAGCCTCACTCTCTCCTCCGGAGCTATCCAAGTCCAGTGACCAGGATGACTGGAGATGGTCCCGCTCCGCCTCTGATTGACGGTCACTTTCCTCTCTGCGTCTCAGATTTGTAAACACCAGGAACAGGAGTCATTTGCCATTGTTGTATCCCCAGCACTGACATAGCTGTCTCCCCAGCGCCTTGCACATTGAAGCCCTGATCAGCTGGACAAGGGCGTGTCTTTCAGAGATGCATATGTGTCCTGGTTCTGTTCTGAGCTCCATTAGACATGTTCCAATCCAGCAAATCAGGCATTCTCTGATCACCCCGGCTTTGGTGTACATGGATTTCTGAGGTACCAGGTGAGTAGGGGGTTTCCTTCCCTTAAAAATGGGTGGGATCCATACCACGTGCATATACAACTGTGACAGATCAGTAAATATTAAATAATGAATTGAGTAGAAATGTGAATGCTCAAGAAGGATTGCCTAGACAGGCAGATAGAAAAGTCAAAGTAGGTTATCAGAAATATCTCAAAGCCTTGGTTGGACCGCAGACGTCAGTGTTTATGTGGTTATTTGTTGTACCTTTTTTTCCCCTCTAAAAGGTGCCTGTAATTGGGTTTCACTTATGAGAAACAAACAATAAAAAAAAATATCTAGGCCTTTCCTCTTCATAGATTCCTCAAATTCTGATTTTTAAGAACTTGAAATTCTTTGGGGACATAGGGGGTAGGGAAGGAGACTGTTTGATTTTGTCTCTTCCCTACTCCAACTATAGAAGGAAGGTATAATAAATAAGATCAGTATTTCCAGTAGATATACAGAGGTACACCAGAAATTTGTTCCTTGGAAAATAAGCTGGCTGCTTATGTGCTACCTTTAAAGTCAACCTGTATCTTGAGATGTTCTCTTGAAAGTCTCCCATTGGTAAGTCGATTTTTTTTTTCTTTTCTGGAGCCTCTGTTTTGGGGAAGAAACAAGACCAGCCTCTGTCTTTATTTGGAACATGTGGTCTTCCCCTGTCACCCCTGACACAGACTCACAGATACTCACAAGCACTTCACCACCTGCCACTCATTATCGTCACGCAGACTCTGTGTCCATTGGCCTCTTCCTAAAACTGCCTTCCTCTATTCAAGGGGAAATGGGGCCATGCAGATGCCTCATGTGTCAGGGCTCCATCTGCGCTCTCCCCAGGAGCTAGCATCCCTGTTTGGGTGGCCAGCACTGTCATCGAAAGGGCCCTCCAGCCTGTTACAGAGGCCAGAGGAGCGACTGCCTCTGATCCGCCCTAGAACCCACTCCCTGACGCAATCAGAGTGCAAGACACTGGGGACACGGGAATGGTTTCTGAGATCGATACTTGGACTCCCTTCCTAACTCACACCCAAATCTCTAGCATTCTACTCCTTCCCAGTGCCACAGCTTGATTGGGTTCTTGATTCTTTTTCTCTGTCTCTCAATCTCTAAATCTCTCCGTCTCTCTCTGTCTCTGTCTCCCTCGGTCTCTCTCTCTCTCTCTCTCTCTCTCTCTCTCTCTCTCTCTCTCTCTCTCTCTCTCTCTCTCTCCCTCCCTCTCCCTCTCTCCCCTTCCCCCCCTCCCCCTCCCCTTCCCCTCCCCCCTCTCTCCCCTCCCCCCCCCCCCCATCTCCCCTTTCCTTCCTTCCTCCCTCCCTACTCTCCGTTTTCTTTAAGAACAGTATTACAATGTCTATAACAATGTAAATGAAAAGCCAATTTTTTGAGGAAGTCAAACTGAGTAACTCATAAACCACTAAGGGGCCAAGACAGCAGATAGTAAAATATCCCTACCTCCTTTGGTGTCCACCTGTCCCCCAGCTCTCACCTATGGCTCTAAGAAGCTGTAATATGTGTAGCAGCCAGTCCCCGTTAAATGATTTCAGCAGACAAGCTAAACCAGGTGGAGGGTAGACAAGAAACCTTGAACTATCGGTGGGTTAGGGGGGTGTCTACCCCAAGCATGTGAAGACTTCCCCTGGAGGAATGGGTGTATAAGAACACATAGTCCCAGTGGCCTTGAAAACAGCTGAACCAGGCCCTGTGGATGCTTAAAGCTTTATCAGACATTGAAGACTCCAAGGTCACCCACTGCAGCCCGGGCCATCACCAGTTGTCTTGACCTTTATCTTGCCACTGGACTGTGATGACTCTGGGAAAAAGAGGGAGGCTGACAACTTTATGCAACTCTGCCTCACTTAAATCCAGATCACACACAAGTCAAGATATCATTCTGCAATGTCACTGGTCCTCTTTGAAAACGAAGGACCAACAACGAGCAATAGCAATATTTCAGGCACTGCCTTCTGTATAATCAATGCCTTTCCTGATCTCTCCAATTGCTAGTGTTTTCCTTCATTATCAACCTGTATTTAACAGACTTATATTTATTTTGAATTTATTCTGAGCATATTGATTCTGTTATACCTATATTTGTAGATGTCTCCCTGTAGGCTCCTTGCAAACAAGGACTAATTCCTTTTTGCTTTTGTACCCAGTGCCTAGAACAATGCTAACCACCTAATACATGTTTGTTGATTGACTCTTGATAAACTATGCATTTTTCTTTTGCCCTTAAAGTCACTTCTTCTGAGTCTTTGGTATATGCCATGATTAACAATCACATAAATGTTATTGATATCTTTTAGTGATAAATTGGTGTTAAAAAGAGAAAAAAAAAAAAGAGACATTTTATGCCAGGGAGCAGCTTGAGATCATGGAAAGTGTTATGTAATTTCTCAAAGGCAATCCAGTCTGAACTCCACCCATCTGCCCATCTAAAACATGTAAGTTGATAATAATGCCTGACTTTATATAATATTTTATATACGTTACTTTTGATTCTCATAACAACCCAACTCCAGCTAGTATAATCCCATTTTACAGATATGAAAACCGAAGTTGAGAGGGTAAAGGGGCTTGCTCATGGTCACCAAACTCATATATAAATTAACACTAAGTCCTATTCTCTTCCCAGTTTACCACACTGCTCCTTAAGACCTTAGACTGTCACTCCATGGAGAATCTTATTTGTTTAGATTGTGCTCAGATTTGGAGATGCAATTGAACTGGCGGTTTAATGCATTTGGCTCAGATGGATAGAGAATGCTTATTTGCTTAGATAGTATGGATTACAAAGCTAATTAATCTCTTCTGAGTCACTGTGGCTCTCATCTGAAAAGCTCTGTAATCTTTGGAGACTTGATGCAATCAGCAGAAGCCCAGTACAAGTATGTGAAGGCCTGACCCCTTAAAAAAAAACAAACAAACAACAAAACAAAAAGAAAAAAATTAACATAAACCAAAGTCCCCAAATGAAGAACATTGAAATCCTCAAAGTAGGATCTATATGACAGCAGAGTCAACAGAGACAAGTCTGGGTATTTTGTCACAGTAGATACATTTGAGGAGTCTAGTTTGAAACTTCTCCTGTCCTTATCTGTCCTCTACCCTCTCCTGGCTTTTTATTTCCTTATACTCTCCACTGATTTCCCACCAAACAATCACTTCTTTCTGCCCCCTTTCACCTCTTCTTCATCAGTTCAAGAGGTTGGATTATCAAACTGCTTTACTAGATCTTAGGGAAAGAGTTAGTGAAGGAGGGAGTGAGAGGAAAAATTTAGAACTCAAAATTTTTTGTAAATGAATGTTTAAAATTGTCTTAATATGTAATTGGGAAAAATAATTTTTTTTAAAAAAGAAGCTGGATTATAAGTTTTCAATCTCTCTACCTAGTCACCTCCTGGCTTCATTCCAAGCTCTCAGAGCTAGATCCTTCCAAGAAACCTCTAATCAGCCACCAAAGAGCTCCATAGAACCCTCTAAAGAATCCTATATACTGCACACACAACCTAGACAGCATGAAAATCTTCAGCTACTATTCACCAGAGCAATGAGTTCAAATCTTTTTTTTTTCCATTGTATGGAGAGGGAAAAAAAAATCTATCAGATCTTATACTTCCCTAATCAAGTTCCCTCTTTCCCTGGGCTCATGTATCACCAGCCCATTGCATTTATTTTATTTTGGTTTGGGCCCTAAGCCCTCAATTTCTTGTATGTGCCTCCTAGGTGAGGGAACCCTCTCTACCAAAACAGATCTATAACACTTCTGCAACTTAGAGTCTTAGAGAGTTTCCTGGGAACTCTGAGAGGTCAGTGACTTACCTAAGGTCACACAGCCAGTAGGTGCTCGTATGTGTCAGAAGCCCTACTTGAACCCAATTGGTTCATCTTGCCACCACCACTGTCCATCATTTAGAGCCACCTGAACCTATAAAGTCTCCATCATTCTATCATATCAGTTCTGAACTATGCTGCTTGGCTTTCCAAACTTGCCACTATCTGGCCCTTAGAGTCCTCATTTTTATGTGATAAAGTAACAGAGTAATCCCAGAGGACTGATGATGGAGGATGCTATCTACCTGCTGATAGAGACATGGTAGATACATAATGAGGCACGCATTTTTGTGCATGGCTAATACAGTGATTTTATTTGTTTAGACTATGCATATTCATTATAAAAGTTAGGGAAGGGGACTGCAGAGGGGAGGGGATAGGAGGAAATACATAAATAAAATTTATTTTATTTTATTAATTATTTTAATAAATCATTAATTATTTATTTAGTAGAATTTATTATTTTTATAAACAAAATGAACTCAATTAATTAAAAATCAATTTTAAAGAATAAATTTTGTTGTCTCTTTTGTTTTCCATTTCTGCAAAATGAGGTTGGACTGGAAGATTTTTAAGGTACCTTCCAGCTCTAACATTGTATAATTCTGCTATCCTTTATCATTTTCCCCCTTTTATCAAAGAGGAGAAAAACCACCCACCTAGTTTTTTGAATTCACAACAATTCTGGGCAATGACCTGCTTCACTGCTTAGGTGTTTGGGGGACTGAAAACTGCTTTCCCACTTCCTCTTCCCCTCTAGGGTTTGTGCTCTTAGGTAGGTTTACAGAATGTCTTCCTTCCAAAGACCTCATTTAGAGTCATCTGGTTAAATGTGAGACATTTAGTGTTATAAGCGGTTACAAATTGAAATAGTCAGGGAAGTAAGTTTGGAGGGAAGATAATGGAGCCAAGAGTGAGAGCCAGAGAGGATGAGGGAGGGGAAGGAAGTGGCTTGGGCAGAGGAGGCAGGAGCATATTCAGAGAGTCAAAGGATGGGCAGTTCAAGTCCCTGGGAAATTCCTGTCTTCACCCCCGAGAGCCTCCAAGTACACAAAAGTGGTTCCCCTGTCCTCCCTTCTCATTCTGGTTTATTCCTAGCTATGGTTGTTGACTGACTGGCTGGATGTTTATAATGATATTTTAAAAGCATCAGCACATTAATCATC